GGGGGTTGTAGGGTTTAGGGTTTAGGGTTTAGGGTTTAGGGTTTAGGGTTTAGGGTTTAGGAGGACGGGGGTTGTAGGGTTTAGGGTTTAGGGTTTAGGGTTTAGGGTTTAGGGGTTGCAGGGTGTGGGGATTGGGTTCATGAGTTAGGCTCTAGGGGTGTAGGGGGGTAGGGTGCAGGGTTTCGGGGGTGAAGGCTTTGAGGACTTAGGGTTTAGGGTTTAGGGCTTAGGCTCTAGGGTTTACGGTTTGGGGCTTATGCAGTAGTCGAAGGGTTTGAGCTTGGGCCATGCATCCGTGTGAGCCCGTAGAATGTCTGTAGACACCGGAACACCCAGCAAAACCACCATGCAGCTGGCGGCCTAAGTCCTACAGTGCTACAGCCACCTGCAGCATGACAGCACTAGATGCCTCAATTCCTAGGCGCTGAAGCCTACATCAGAGAAATCGCGCCTTAAGCCCGAAACCCGAAACCCTAAACCCCCAAACACCCTAAACCCTAAACCCTAAACCCTAAACCCTCAACCCCCCAAACTCCAGAAAACGATAGTATCGTTCCGGCACAGGACGACGGGCTTGTCCGGGCTCCGCTTCACCTTCGCCGCCGGCGAGCCGGCAGTGAACCGTTACGAGGAGCGAGGGTTTAGGGTTTAGGGTTTAGGGTTTAGGGTTTAGGGTTTAGGGGTTTGGGTTCAAGAGGTTTCATGCCTTGGCCAAAAGCCTCGAACCTTACTTTGAAGCCTTACAGCCCTGAAGTCCTAAACCCAAAGCCTTGAGCCTAACGTCCTTCGAAACCCCTACACCCTAAACCCTAAGCCCTAAACTCTAAACTCCAAACCTACAAGCCTCACCTGGAACCGGAAAGGTGGGAGGAGGCTTTGGCCCGCACAAGGACGAGGAGATGGCCGCTGGGACGCAGACGCTATCTTTCGGGTCTCCCGGGTTCGTACGATAATACAGGGCCTAATATAGGGTTTTGGGATTAGCGCCTCGGGCTCGTACACAACATTATAAAGCCCAATACAGGGTTTCGGGTTTAGGGTTTGGGGTTGAAGGTTTTGAGTCAGGGTTTAGGGTTTAGCGAGTCATAGAATCCATGCCCACACTTCCCCCCCTCGATGAGGAAGGACACCCTAGAGCAAGTCCAACTCGAGTGAACCAAGCCCAAGCCCTCCCTAAACCCTAAAGCCTAAACTCTAAACCCTAAACCCTAAGGTTACTAAGTTTAGGTTTCGAGTTTGGGGCCTTAGAGGGCTTTGGGCAGAGGTTTAGGGCCCAAGCACGACGATCGACACTCAAGCTCCCAAGATAGTCAGGCAGCCGAGACCGTTTCATCAAGATTCGAAACCCACGGCCCTGGGTGCAAGACATGTTTTCCAACGAAGGCTGCTATTGTTATTCTCGTCAGTGTTGTTAAGTATTGTTATCATCATTATCATGAATACTAATGTTGTTACTAGCATCATGATTATTATCGGTGTGCTGGTTCTGATCACTGTGAGTATTGCTACTACCATGATTAATGCCATTACTGTTACTACGATAATGCAACTAATATATTCTTATCATGTTTGCCATTATTGTTATACTTGCTATCACAAAAACAACAGTGGCTGCTATTCTCATTATGATGCTTTGCTATACCCCAAGACCCCAGGACTTCGATCCTTGCTCGAGTTTGCACCGAAGACCCTGAAGATTTAGACACCAAGACCCGAAGATAAACCCCGAAACCTAGGTTTAGGGTTCAGGGCAAACCGGTAAACCCCAAATGCCAAACCTAAGCCCCGAAACCCCAGCCTTAGACCCCTAAGCTACACCCTAATCCTTGTGTGTTTGGGTCTTGGTGTTTGCATGTCTCGGTTTCAAGGATTCATACCCTAAACCCTCAACCCACCAAACCTCAAACCCAACAAGCCCTAAACACAACAAGCCCTAACTCGAGGTCACTGTCAACATCGTCCTCTCGGAGCCGGATGCCTTCTCCGGAGGGGGCACCCTGTTTTGGCCAGAGGAGGAGTCAGTGGAGGCCGGTTTCTGAGGGGTTTTCGGGATCGATTAAAGGGATCTAGCAGGGTTTCGGGTTCAGGGGTTTAGAGGTTTGGTGTTCAGGGTTTAGGGGTTAGGGCATACGGTTTAGGGTTTAAGCTAAGTCTAGGACATTTTCAGGTGGGTAGTTACCGTTATATGAGCCTTGTGGAAGGTCTATATGCCTTCTAGAACTCTTATAGAAGCCCTATATACCCTAAACTCCCCACCTGTGAGTCTCCTTTACTTAAGTTTCAGGGTCGAAACCCTACTAAGCCCTAAACCCTAAACCCCAAACCCTGAGGGTCTAAGCCAAGTTTCAGGGTCTCAGGTTTCAGTTCGGGTTTGGGGGCGGCTCAGGCCCGACTCCCCTGCGTTGGAGTTTCGGATGGGTTGGACAGGCGGCATTCGGGAGAGCCCGAAATAAGTCAAGGTGGTGTGGGTTTAGGGTTTTAGGGTTTAGGGTTTAGGGTTTAGGGTTTAGGTAAAGGTGGTGTGGATAATTGCTGGTGGTATCCCCCAAATGCCCCCCCCAGCACCCAAGAACAAGCATGACGAGCAAGACTCAGACCCCCGCAGGCCCACCAGACATGCAACCCTAAACCCTAAACCCTAAACCCTAAACCCTAAACCCTAAACCCTAAACCCTAAACCACACACTATCAATTTTTGCACAGATTACCGAAGACCTGAACCCAAAACCCTAAATTCTAAACCCCAAAACCCAAACCCCTAAACCCCAAACCCCAAACCCTAAACCCTAAACCCTAAACCCTAAACCCTTACCCTCCAGCTCTCTCTCCGGTCTACTTCCCGGTCCGATGGTCTGATTGCAGTTCGCTGAGGGGCTGA